GATAGAATGTCTGCGCTAATTATTGTTGGAACATGAATGCTTGCATTGCCCTACAGAGTCAGAAAACCAGAAAAAAAGAAGATTTTTTATAACTTCTAGTGACCGCACAGCACATACACGCCCCTCTAATCAGTATTCGCGACTGAGGTGTGATATCCTCGCGAACCTCGACTTCAAATTCTGCTATACTGTACCAGCAATAAGCGACATGACAAAAGTTTCCTTTTTTTACTCAGGAGTACTTAATAATTTTTGATTAAAGTGCCATAAAAGCTTGATTGATTACTGCTATTCAATTTTGCTTTATTGACACTCATTTGTTTCAGACTCTTATTTATGAGAAAATTTATTGTTCGCTATATTATTTACCTGGCTTGTCGATAAGGCGTAGCTCATGCTGAACACATTATCCAGAAAAGGTGATGCTATGGCATAGTATTTTGACACGACGTACATAGCGAACAGATGTCTGTCGACACCATGTCCAGCCATCGCATTTCGGTAATATGCTTGATGACGATCGCAAGCTCGTCGCAGCAAGTCCATCCTAGTTTTATTCTGAAACTTGGCAATATATCGATATGAAAGAGGAGATGTAGAGATTCTTACTGTTTCGTTCTTGTCCAGCATTGATCGAACGAAATCGCATGATTCTGTACTGCAACTCCTCACTGTCTCTGTTCTTCCATCACGATATAGGCGCATAACAGCTGGTTCGTACGTGAGTTCAAATTTGCCTTGGTCCTTAAATGTAGTGTTTTGAGTGATGAAGAGCATGATTTTACAGAAAGAGGTCATACTTTGTAATATGCGAACTGCATTGCCATTTGAATGAAAGCATCTGGTGAAACACCAATTTTCTTCATGAAATCCTTTCCATACTCGCTGAAAATCACATGACTATTCTCAAAATCATCTGCAACTCCTTTGGAGATGGTATACGCTTTGTTGACAGCATCCAAGGTCTAAAAAGCTTCGCTTCATAAGAGTGGCTTTTTTTT